TCTCCTGGCTTCGGATCGGCATAGCATTGGCCATTGCGCTCACTTGGGGAGTGAATCATCGGACGGAAGATCTTCCTCTCTGTCTCTCCCCCTCTCTGTATATCCACCTTTCCAATAAGAATTAAAAAAAAAAAAAAACAAATCCTTAAAATAATGGGAAGATACAGAACTACAAAAAATATTTAAAAAACAAAAAAACCAAAAAGAACTCTGAAGTCAAGGGGCCGGTGTTGTGGCCCAGCAAGTAAAACTGCAGCACGTCATTTCGGCATTCCGTATCAGAGTACTGATTCAAGGCCCAACTGTTGTGCTTCCTCTCCAGCTCCCTGGTAGTGTGCCTGGGAAGGAAGCAGCAGATGATCCAAGTCCTTGGGCCCCTGCCACCTGAGTGGGAGACCTAGTTGGAGTTCTCTGGACTCCTGGCTGCAGCATGGACCAGCCCTGGCTGGTGGAGCATTGGTGAGTATGAACTTACAGTTGGAGGTGCCCTTTCTGTTTTTGATTCCCTGAATTTTTTCAAAACACCCTTAGACAAAAATAGCTTTTGCAGGGCCTGTGTTGTGGTACAGTGCTGAAGCATTAAACCCCTTTTGGAACTGGCATAAGTGTTTGTGTGTGTGTAAACTCTGCCTTTCAAGTAAATATTTGTTTTCATCCTGAAACTGAATCCTACACCATCTAGAAAAGGGAATATAGTGTCTGTTCCTCTTCCCTGGAGACCTCCTAAGGGAGATTAGCAATCAGCATGTCAAGGGCTGGCAGGCACAAATGGCTTTTCAGGATCATAGGTCAGCAGGATTGGGTCTAGGTCTGTGGCACAACACCTGGGATGCCTTGAAACTTTACATTCTTATTTCCTGCCTCTCTTCCTTCTTTGTGTTCCATATTCTATTTTGTTCACTTTTCTCCATGCCCAATTATCCCTGACAAAGTAGTAAGGCAGAAAGTCTGAAGACATAACCTTTAGGTCCATGAGAGCATGTTAATTGTTGCACATCTGGCATACGGCTGTTGTTTTCTAGAATCCAGCTGAAACCATGTCTGGCCAACAAGGGAACTGAAAAGATTCGAATCCCGCATTTACAGTATGTGACCCATGTGTATATTCAAATCTTCGCCTGTTGGCATACACAGCAATCTTGGGGAAACCTGACTGGCCTTCCCACACTCCATAAAGTTGCTCTGGACACACTTAAGTCTTGATAAAATGGTCCAGACCAGAAACAACTGGGTGTCTAGGCGCTGGGCAACACTCCACATTGGTCACAGTCTTCTGGGTCCAATCCCACTCTCTCCAAACTCAGCAATACCATTTTTAGGTTACTGGGGACTCCTTTTCCACGTCCCAGAAGCCATCAAGGTGCATACCACACCTGCCACCCAGTGTCAAAGTCTTCTCCCTAGAATACCAGGTACAAACAAGGCTGCCCCGTTTACTTGCATTCATTAGTGCTTGCCAAGAGAATGAACAATTTGTGAAGCCATCTTACTCTATTTGTCCCCAAAGACTTTATTCTAGTCTTTCATTTTGAGCAATGACATCAGCGAGGCTTACTTTTGGCTTCTAATAGATCAATCCTATTCATATCACTATTAGGTGTAACAAGGGGATCTTACATTGCAAAGCTCTAACTTTCAGTGAGATTTGGTTAGGCTTATCCTTAGCTCTTCTAAGACTCTTGGGTAGGAAAGGCTGCCTCGTGGATTGGCTGTGTATTCCGAGAACAGATTTCAGAGAATTCAAACAGCTTGTGTCTTCCCTATTCTGAACTGTCAGGTTGTTTTGTGTACATGTGTACATCACAAGCATTTTTTGTCAACCCTAAGCTCTTGAAAACCAGAAAGTGTGAAACAGAGTAGCTGACTATAGCTCCTCAGAGAATTGTCTTTGTGGATCTGAGCCCTGTGTTAAGATAAGCAATCCCTATTTTGCTTCTGGCAAGAATATAGCAATTTATATGTGAGGTTTCTTAATGCCTACAGACAAGAATTAAGGAGAAGAGAAGATTCCACATTTGGCACAAAAATGAGAAAGACCCATGAACAAACAAATTACAAATGGGGGAAGGACATGGGGGAAATTCGACTCCTAGCCTTGGAGGAGAAGCAGAGATTTAAGTGTCAGTTGTTGGGTTGAAAGCCAGGCCAGATGGACACTGGACAAGCTCGCACAGGCCTCCAACCTCAACTCTGCAGGACCAGTGAGAGCTTCCTGGTTTCATCTATTCAAGGCCAGAGCTTCCCAAGGGCTACAGTCATGCAACTGAGGCATACTTCGAAGTAGCAAGAACCCCTGAATACTTAACTCCCAAATTTAGTGAGACTGCAGTTGTTTGTCAAATTTGAGAGGTCTTGAGAAAATTCAAGGGCAACACATTATGAAAAAATTACACATGAGGCTCAAAAAAGTTCTTGCACCAGGATAAACTTATTTTTGAACTTCATTTCTTCATTGACTTTTTGTAGTGTTTTTGTATTTGTATAGCACATGGTATGCCAATCACGGAGGAGGCCAAGCTAAGGAGATGAGTGGGCGGCATGGATGAAGCCAGATGTGAACCCTACACAGTGCATTTCACCACAGGTGGATGGAAAAAGGTGACCTTTGTTAGAAAAAAAGAGTTGTTTTTTTTTTTTTTCAACTACTATTCGGGCTTAATTCAATGCCTTCAAACAAAGAGTCTTTGACAATTTTCCTTCACAGTGAAGCACTGGAAAAGGCTTGTTCCACCTGAGGAGTTTTTTCCTAACTTTCACATAAAAGAATTCCATCACCAGTTGTTTTTTTTTTTTTTCCCTAGGTTGGTGGGCACCTCAGAAGTTAGTTTTAGGCTTAATTGCTTTCATGCTTCTCAACCAATTGCTACATTTTTTCCTTTGCTCTCCCTTAGTTGTTGTTTCATTTTTGCTCTTAAAAATCTCTTCCATGACTTTATTTTTCCCCCTTGAGGTGGGTGGCATATTAACAAGGTATAATTAATTCAGGGATTGCAAATGTGCCTTGTGAGAAGCGAGTTTCCAAGTGGCACTGTACTTCCCTGGCAAAATTGTTGTTTCCTCCCTCTCCATTGTTTACTTGAAATGAGAAAGAACAAGAAAGCAAAAGACAGCAAACGGAGGGTGGAGGGTTTGCCTGGAAAATTCCCAGGAACAAACAATGTTCAAATAACAGCCTCCGAAATAGACAGGTGCTACAGAGAATGGTGCAGGACACACAGAGCTGGGAGTTGGCTTGAAAGGGGTCTTTGCTCAAGGTGCAAACAGCAAGTCACATTACAAATGTGCTCGCAGGTGCTCTTGGCCACTATTGCGGGAAATAGAGATGTGTGTGCAGTCGGGGGGCTGAAGGGGACCCTGGCAAAAGCAGTGAACATGCAGGTGAATGTGAAAGCTTCCCCTCTTGGTCACTAACCACAGTCCCAGATTTCTTGGCCACCCATTAAGATCTCTGTGTCTGAAACTGTCCAGAGTTCCGAAGGAGACAGACCTCCATAATGGCTGGTCTCTCTTAGCCTGACTGTCCCTTATCAAAGAATCCCATGGCTTGAGGGAGTGAAACAGCTGACTCCACAAGGTTCTAACCACAGGACTCAAGAAGTCCTTGGCACTGATAAAACCAGTGGCCATTATTGCCTAGAGAGGTTTGATTAGGGAAATTCCAGGTTTGGGACACAAGGTAACTACCACTTACTTGGAAACCTCCCAGGTCAACTGGAGCCCCACCTAGCCATCACAAATTCCTTAAAGAGCATGGCACCACTGACCAATCAAAGGAAGGTCACGGGCACTACTGATCAATGAGGAACTTGGACTGGAGCTGGTTTCGCACCTCTCAACCCCTATTTCAATCTGTAAGAACCTTCACTCTTAACTCCTTGGAGGAGCAGAAATGAAACATTAGCTGCGTGGCTCCTTGCTCTGCCTTACAGTGAATGCCTACTCTTCCCACTCCCTGCCAGTGGTTGGCGTTCTGTATTCGGTGAGGAGACCCCAGTTTGGGGGTTCTGCGGCAATGCCAATAGCAAATCCGAGATGTCGTTCAGCAACACTAACAAGACTGTGTTAGTGTAATAATCAGAAGCTTTTAGGTAGAAGTATAAGGGTTTGGAGCTGTTTCCTTTCAAATGAGTTAATTTTTGACTTTTTGAACAAACCTAGTTTGGAGGAGGGAAAGATTTGGTGCCTCCCAACACTCTTTATGCATTGTTAAAGGCACAGGAGCAACTGTGGACCAGACAGGGGTGCCAGGAAATGCATTAAGAAAGAATGGGTTTTTAGGAAGGGAAATCTGAAGGAATTCAGAGCAGGCGACAGGAACAGAGAGAGACTTGGTTTGTGACAGTTATTTTAGTGTAGTACAGAGTGGCGGCTTGCCACTGGCACTCCATTCATTCCGTTCCTTCTCCCACACCTTTTCCCAGCACCTGTTTGGCACCGACTCTGCTGACTACATCATCCAAGCTCTGTCCTTCCTGTAAGTAACCTGCCCTCCTTCAAGTAAATAAATAATGCAGATGACAGGTTGGGCACAAGGGGGGCGCAAGGTAACTTTGCACATTCTCTTCCAACTCTGGCTGTAGACAATTCCTAAAAGGCCCCTCCTGGTCTGCATGCTGGGCCTCGGCTTTTGCCTCCCTAGTCATCTTCAGCTCTCTCAACCCTGCCCTTGTCTCCCACGGTGAGCTCCTGCAAAAGGCTCTGCAGTTGAACCACCTGGAGAGGACTGTTTGCTGCCAGGCTGCTGACTGATAGAAAGGGTGATGGGCTTGAAGCTATGGGGTGCACTTCCCAGCCAAGGGGCTCACACAGCGAAGTGTGGGTTCTTTCTGGCAGACTGCTAAGGCTCGGGTGAAGCAGGAAGGATGAATTGGTCCCCACATGTGCAGGACTTGGTTGATGAGGCTCTAGTTGATACACCAATGCAAGACCAAGGGTGCTACAGTCACTTTCACCACTCAAGACATTACTGTGCTTGGGGATAAAAGAAATCTGTTCAAGACCCAACCAAACATATTTTTAATGGAATTTTTTTTCTTGTTAAATAACAATTTACCAAAAGGGTGACCAGATCTCATCGGGGGCAAAACTTGTACTAGAAATGCATAACATTACAGAGGAAAATAGGGGAGGGCTTGGTGAGGAGGCCAAGGCCAAGGGCAGAGGCCACCCTTGGTCTTCCATATTTATAGATATTTTATATATACATTACATCCGAGTGTGACAGGCATCTGTACCATTTCCCAGGAAGACAAGGGTGTTTCTAAGGCAAGGCAAGGGCAATGATGGGGGAGGGACAGCCAGAGCTCAGGGCTGGGGTGGGAGGGCTCAGCTCAGAGCAGCTGCAGGAGCTTCAGAGACTGAAGGAGCGCACGGGGCTCCGCCGAGGCCAGATACTGGCAGCACAGCCAGTCCTCCAGCTCCACACCCCGCCGGCGGTCCACTGCCTTCTCTGCAAACTTCATCATCATCAGGGCGCGCTTCATGTCGATCCAGTTGTGCAGTGTGCTGCACAGCGCCTCCTCCGAGGGTCCCGGCTGCTCCACCAGCTCACGCCGGGGCCCCCACAAAAGGCACTGCAGCACACGCTTCGCCTCGCCGATGCGGATGCGTTTAATTGGGTCGGCCTCAAGCAGCAGGTGTGCCAGCTGCTGCAAGCCAGGCGAGTAGAGGGACAGGGCCGGCAGTGGGGGCAGATCCTCCTGGCGGTAGTCCTGCTCCCGCAGCTGCGCGCGCACCTCAAACGGGTTGGGCTGGTGCAGCAGCTCATAGATGAGGATACCCGTCTGAAACTCATCGAACTTGCGGTACTGGGAGGCCGACACAATCTCTGGGGCTAGCCGGGCCTGGTTCTTCTTTTGCTGCATGTTGGTGGAGCCGCCCGGCTTCTGCTTGGCCTTTAGGAAGTTGCTGATGATCAGCCGGGGCAACTGCTTATCACCGGGAGCGCCCTGGCAGGCTGGGGTGGCAGCGGGGCTCGGGGTGGCGCCGGCTCCGGCCACAGAGGTGCTGGCGGAGGAAGGTGCAGCTGGGCCTGGAGTTGTGGCGGTGGTGGAAAGAGCGGCGGGGCCAGGGCCGGGGGTTGAGGCGGCGGGGTTGGGGGTGGAGGTGGCCTGCGGCACGCAGCGCACCAGCAGCAGGTTCTCCAGGCACAGGTCACGATGGATGACCCCATGCTCCTTCAGGTGCTCCAGCCCGTTGCACAGCTGCAGAAGCAGGAAGCACACGCGCCGCTCATATGCCTCGGGCTCTGCCCGGTGGCTGGCAGCCGAGTCCCGCACGAAGTCGGAAGCAGTCTGGTGCGGCACCTCGCGGGTGATGACCACCACGCAGTCCTGCTCCTGGGCAGGGGGCTGTGCGGTTAGGGCTGGTGGAGGGTCCTTTGGTGCCTCGGGAGGGGCCAGCATGCTGGACGGCACGGAGGCCACAAAGTGGCCACAGTCCTGCTGGATGTTGAAGTGGACGGGCACAGAGGGGCTGCAGTAGGAGGCTGCTTTTGGCTCAGGAGTCTTACAGATCTGTGAGGTCAGGGAAGGAAGCAGAAGCGAAGTCAGCAGGGAACCCTGTCCATGCGGGTGAAACTGCACTTCCCCCTACCTCACACCGTATCACACACAGACTTAAGACTACGAGCAGACAAACACAAATTTTAGGTGGAAAAAAATCACAGCAGAGAATCTTTGAAACCTTAGGTTGGACCAAGCATGGTTCACAAAAGGAAACAATAAAGTTAAACCTGACCTCATCACTTTTTTGCTTCAAACCAGTGGTTTAGAAAGCTAAGTCACTGGGGTGGATCCCACCTCTGCTTTGAATCTGGCTTACTTAGTACGTGCCCGGGAGGCGGTGGGTAAAGCTCCAGTGCCTGGGTTTCTGCCACTGTTGTGGGAGACCTGGATGGAGTTTCTGCCTCTTGCTTTGGCCTAACCCAGCTCCAGCTGCTGTGTGCATTCTACCCAGAGGATAGAATCTACTCTCTCGCCTCTCTCTCTCTGTCACTCTGCTTTCAAATAAATAGTTTTTTTTTAAGACATCATTGAAGAAAACTGAAAGATAAGGAATAGGCTGGAAGATTCTAATACTTGCCAAGCACATATCTGATTAAGGACTTGTACCTAGAATTTACAAAACAAATCCCTTCTAACTTCTCAGTCTTGTGGCAATAACCCAATTTAAAAATGGGCCCAGGTATGAATAGACAACTAGCCAGATTTACAGAAGCAGACAGGTGCACGTGGAAAGATGCTTGACATTATTAGTTATGAGGAAACTACAAGTCAAAACAGATCAAACGGCCCCCTCACATCCACTGGCATGGCTTTAATAAAAGACAAGCTGGGGCTGATGCCATGGCGAAGTAGGCCAAGCATCCTCCTGCAGTGCTAGCAACAGTTTTGGGTGCTGGCTCGTATCCCAGCTGCTCCACTTCTTTAAAGATTTATTTTTTTATTATTTTTCATTGGAAAGGCGGATATACAGAGAGGAGAGACAGAGAGGAAGATCTTCCGTCCGATGATTCACTCCCCAAGTGAGCACAACGGGCCGATACTATGCCGATCCGAAGCCAGGAGCCTCTTCCGGGTCTCCCACGCAGGTGCTGGTTCCCAAAGCTTTGAGCCGTCCTCGACTGCTTTCCCAGGCCACAGGCAGGGAGCTGGAAGGGAAGCGGGGCTGCCGGGATTAGAACGGGCGCCCATATGGGATCCCGGGCGTGCAAGGCGAGGACCTTTAACCACTTGCGCCACCGCGCCGGGCCCCGCTGCTCCACTTGTGATTTAGCTTCTTGCTCATGGCCTGGGAAAGCAATGGAGGATGGCCCAAGTATGTGGGCCCCTGCACCCATGTGGGATACTCAGAAGAAGCTACTGGCTTCTAATTAGCTCAGATCTGGCCATTGTGGCCCTTTGGGGAGTGAACCAGGGGATGGAAGACCTTCTTTCTGTTCCTCCTTTCTGTGTAAACCTACCTTTCTAATAAAAATTTTTAAAATATTAAAAAATACATTTAAAAAATCTCTCACTTCCTCTATAATTCTTTCAAGTAAAATCAATAAATCTCATTTTATAAAAAAAATAAAATGCAGGCAATAACAAGAAACTATAAAGATACAGGGAAATGGCAACCATGTTACAAAGCTGGTGGGAAGGTCACACGGAGTAGCCACTATGGAGCACAGTTAGGCAACTGAGTAAAAAGTGACCCATTGAGACAGGGCTCCCTGCAGAGCCACATGCAGTGTGGCACAGGCAGGAATACATCCCTCCAGCCACAGTATGCACTGAATGAATTCTCATGAAGCCAGATGGAGTTAACATAGCAATTGGCCTCATCTGCCATCTTGCTCACCTGAAAAGGTAGCTGCCTGGCAGCAGATAAGTGGAACCGCTGGCCTGTTCCCTCCTTGGGTAATCTCGGGGGCTGTGGGAGGCTGGACATCTGTAGGACTTGGCCAGGTCCTCATGGGTTGCCCTTGTTTTCTAGATACTCAAACCTATTGGCTGGCACAGCCTGCAGGGCTGACTCAGGTAGAACTGCCAAGTGCAAGGGTGAGTCACAATGACCCAAAAGCAAACAGAAGGCTGTCCAGGGCACGGGGAGCTCAAAGGCCCTCTCTGAACTGAAGGAGGGAATGCGCCACCTCCAGCTGCTCTGTGGGAAGGGTGCCCATGTCTGTCTGGGGTCTGCCCTGTCTGCTGGCAGCAGCACCCACCTGAAGAGCTCTAGCAGTGCTAATCACGGTCCGACGCCACTCAGCTGTGGAGCTGAGCCGGCCCTAATAGCCCCTGTAATTACTGCTGAATGGGAAGGAAGGTAGTAGATCATCAGCTCTCTCACTCCGGTATTGCGCAACCTTGCTCATGCTTTGTAGAAGCAAGGATCAGTGTGCAATCGCGAGCAGAAAGACCTCTCACACCTACCTATAAACCTCCTGAAAGTAATTTCCAACTAGCTTTACCTCTTCCCCTGTTTTGTTCTGCTCTGGGTTCCTGCTTTGCGGCGAGCCCAACAGCATGGACACAGTGTCACTTGCGTGCAGCTCATGTGTGGAGCAAGCATCTTTCCAGAGACTTATTTATATTGTGACTCTGCAAGCTTTCTCAGCGTGAACCTGGCACAAAGGAGATCATTCAGTCTGCCAAGGGAACATCTTCAAAGCAAATTGGAGTTGGGGGTGGGAGAATGCATTAATTTCATGATCTTTCTATTATGGAAACTAAATGGAAATGAAAAGAAAAATGTGTTTTATTCCAGACACTGCTTCATTTTTGTGGGAGCAGAAATGATGCTGATATACATGTGCAAGGGAAATTGACCTCGGCTGTGTTTGTCTAGCTCATCCACTGCACTTTCATTTTATTTTATTTTTGAAGGATTTTATTTGCTTTCATTGGAAAGGCAGATTAGTTTTAGGGAGAGAAAGAGAGACAAAGATCTTCCATCTGCTGGTTCACTCCCCCAAATGGCCAAAACAGCCAGAGCTGAGCTGATCCAAAGCAAAGAGCCAGGAGCTTCTCCTGGGTCTCGCATGTAGGTGCAGGTTCCCAAGGGATTAGGCCATCCTCTACTGCTTTCCCAGGCCACAAGCAGGGAGCTGGATGGGAAGTGGAAAAGCTGGGACATGAACTGGTATCTATATGGGATCCCGGTGCTTGCAAGGTGAGGGTTCTAGTCATTAAGCCATGGTGCCAAGCCCTGTGCTCTGATTTTAAATGGCAGCCTCAGAAATACCAGCAAACTCAAGAAGCCTTGGCAGGGGAATAGCAGGTCTTGAAAAGACTCTTGCATATGTGTGGCTCAGTGGCTAAACCGCTGTGTGAGGCGCCTACATCTCATACTGCAAGGCCGGAGTCATGCCCCAATGCTGATTCTGACTCCAGCTCCCTGTTAATGTGCCCCTTAGAGACAATGAGTGATGGTTTAAGTACTTGAGGCCCTGCCACCCATGTGGGAAACCTGATTGAGTTCCTGACATATGGGCATTTAGAAAATGAATCAGCAGGCAGATTGTTTTTTCCTTTCTGCCTTTCAATTGGCAATAAATAAATAAACAATAAATAAATAAAGGAACTGTATTGCAAACAAACACTCCAGCACTCTGATTTGGCCTCTGTAGGTGCGTGGGAAGAACTTTACTGTGTCCCTCTCAGGGATCTGCTAGACTCTTGCAGTGCGGCATTCCACGCTACTATGCAGCTTCCATGCAATGTCACAGTGGATCTCACTAAGCCGGAAGTCGTAGCTGCTATTATAGATGTGGAAACTGAGGTTTCAGGAAGTGAGATTACCCATCTGGAAAGTGTTCTGGAGGTCGAAAGCATAGGCTTTGGAATAAGCAATATCAGCATTTGAAACATGAGCTCAGTAAGGTAGACTGGCTGTAGGAGATCCTCATTCCTTGTGGTAGCTATGTTTTATTGTATACAAACCACAAATAACAAAGTTGTGAATATGGAACCACTGCTCCTAGGGGAAGCACTGGGTGAGGTTCCTACAAACTTCTGGTCAATTTTCTCACCAGCCATTCACGATGTAACTGAATGTGATGCGTATTTCTATTCAAAGACAGTTTGCCAATGAGCATCAAGCTCACTGTCCATGGCACGACTGCACCTGCCTGATGCTAGCTAATCTAACACACGTATGTTCCCTGGACAGTGCATCATGGTTTTACTGTGCTTGGGAACCTCACAGCACTGCGGGGCTATGCCTGGGGGTGAAGGAGGGGACATTTTAAGCTGTATCTTCACAAATAAAAATCATATGCCAACAACAACAACAAAAGTGAAACACGAGATCCTGAGTGGACTGTTGGAGGCGACTCTGGCAGGAAGAAAGTTGTAGCAATATGGCAGAGCTGAGCCTGGGAACATGCATGCTGTGGGCGGGGAGGGGAAGCAATTTTCCCCTCACGTGAGCACCCACTGATGACTTGAGAACATTCCACAGTGCTGGTGTGGGGACTGTAAACACATTTTTCAAACACAGACTATGAAGGTCAATGGTATTTATCACAACGCCTGTATTCTCCTCTGTATAAGGGGACAATGACAGTCCCCGGCCCTGGGACCACCACGGGGAGGACCCGAAATGCAGCAGATATGACTGCCAAACTCTGGCCTGTCTTATGGTGCAGTGCACAGGCACTGGGTCAGGTTGCTATGGTGACAGCTCTTGCCTTTTCCACTGCAGATGTCTGGGGGTGCTGAGCAGTGCAAGCCTTGCTCGCACGTGTGGCACAGCTCACGCAGGACTGCTGCAAGGGACCTGGGGAGCGGTTCCAATGCCCAACCCCCTTTTTCTTCCTCAAGGGGATCAAAAATCAGGGGCTCTAATGGAGCCGCAGAGGGTCTGCACAGAGATGTAAATGAAAGAGCAGAGTCCCTGGCAACTGGACTGGAAGCATTTCAGAATAAGTGTTGTCGGGGAGAGGGGTAGGACCCAGACCCACTGCTGGAGCTCTGGTGGGCAACCCCCAGGCTCTATCAGTAGTGCTGGGTGGGAGAAGGGGACGGAGGTTGGGGCCTCTTCTCTGTCCTCCCCTGGCTCGCCTGGTTGCATTGTCAGGAAGTCCCACACTCCGATGTTAGGCTCTAGAACTTGGTATAGATCTTCACTCCAGCTTTGATTTCAAACTGCTTGCTATGCCAAGTCTCATTTTATATGTCCCAGTCATCCATTTCCATGCATGCAAATCTGAGCTCAGTCACCTCGCTTACATTAGAAAAAAAAAAAAAGGCTCCAAGAGGTTCAAAAGTCCCGGATTACCAAAGTGAAGCTCTGGGTGGCTGAAAAAGAAAACGGCTTTTGAAAATGCACATGCAGCTAATGATTCCCTTCCCTCCAGCCACAAGAACCAGCTTTATCTCTTCTCCATTACGGGTCACTGAGCTCAGGCTTGGAGGTGCCTGCATCAGCAGCCAGCAGGTGCAGATGGGAGCCTGCCATTGTTCACCAGGGACTCCACATTCAAGGATCCGCTGGCTGCTGGGCAGGCTGCTTGCCTCACATGCACAGACGAAATGGGCGTGGAGACCCGCTCCCTCCTTCCCTCCCAAACGTGGACTCCCAGAGGACTGGGTTCTGTCTAGACTGCTGCACTAATGAAGCCAAACAGCTGCAGGCACACGAAAGGAGGCTCCGCAGTCCCCACCCCACCTCCCGATCCCCAGGCGAGATGCACTGGCAAACTGGTATTGTTGATCCTGGTAAACACTGCTCTTTTTATCTACCATGCAGAGATGCTTCTGGAGCTGGCTACCAAGACTTTGGGACAGTCAAATAAGGAACGCCTTGGGGGCTCTCTAGGGGACCAATGCTTATTTTTGGGTTTCCTTATGGCTTAGATGTTTAAGAAAATAAGCAGCGTAAGGAGCAAGCCCCCTCCACCTTTTTTAATCCTCTGGGAAAATTTGAATTTCTCTTGCTGTGTTACTGAACAGGGCACCTGCACATGATGGCAGGAAGCACAGCCTGGTCACTTATGGACACAAAAACAATGCAAAGCTCAGACTCAATGGCAAGGCCAGGTGTCGTGTGCACCAGGCAGCCTGGTCTGATTTTTTTTTTTTTTTACAGTAGTATCCATCTCCTCATTCTCTATCCCAAGGGCAAGGGAGTGGCATTGAGTCTCTTCCACAAGCTCCTTCCTCCTCAAAACAGAGAGGTCTCTGGATGCTGCACACCCAAGGCCAGACTCAGGAGGGAAGATGATAGCCAGGCATGCACTTGAATACAGAATGGTTCAAGCAGAAGCATGAGTTGCGGCCCATTTGGTCAGCCCTGTGGACCGTGGCTAGTGAAAGGGAGGGACTGCTGGAGTCCACCACCATCACCTCAGCTTCCTAGGAACTCCAACTTGTGGCCCTTTCATCCCATGAAGGTAGATGACAGGGCCCTGGGCTGACAGAGGCAACCCAAAGCCAGTTGTGATGACCTCAGGGGAGGGACCCAGGATTCTTTCCTCTATTGCATACAGACCTAACCTGCATGGATGTGGGGTGAGTATGTGGGGGGGGGGCTCTGTGCTTCATTTTGTTTTATATTTTCATTGGGGGAGTGGAGGTGAGGGGTGGTGGGCACAGTGCAGAAGCTGCAACATTCAATAAGCATATCCAAGAATCTCAACCAAGACCTTTGCACTTTCTTTCATTTAACACCTACCATCTTGACGATAGTGTCTAGATCTCTGGCTACTCATTCTCATCCCCACCACCTGTAAATGTAGTGAGTAATTTTCTATAGTACTTCGAATTTATCAATCAGGGCTTCAAAAATTCAATTTCTTAAAATGAAAGCCCTCAAATAAAACTCACTACTATCTCAAAGTCATCCATGTGGCCAGGGAAATCCAGTTTTTACTCTGCATCTAATGGATAAAAAGGGGCTGGCATGTTGGCTCAATTGGTTAATTCTCCACCTCCAAACACTGGCATCCCGTAATGGGCACTGGTTTGTGTCCCAACTGCTTCACTTTCCATCCAGCTCCCTGTCTGTGGCCTGGGAAAGCAAAGGAGGGCAGCTCAAGTCCTTGGGAACCTGCATCTGTGTGGGAGATCCAGAAAAAGCTTCTGGCTCTTGGCTTTGAATCAACTCAGTTCTGGCTGTTGTGGCCACTTAGAAGATATTTCTCTCTCTCTTCTTCTCGCTATAAATCTGCCTTTCCAATAAAAGTAAATAAATATTTTTTTCTAAAAAGAATTTTTAAAAGTCTGTTGTGGGAGTGGGTATGGCAGCAAAGAGTTTAGCATTCATGGATAGGCTGTAAGAACCAGTGCAGGTATTCAAAGAAGATGGCCATGAGGGAGAGGCTGGGATCCATGGCAGCGGTCACAGTGGACCAAATGCTTGTAGCAGGTGGACCAGCTCACTCAGAACTGCATGCTGAGAGACAGCAATGAGTGTGGTGGCAATAGCTGTGACCCACCAATAAGAATTGCATGAGCATGTTTACACCATGCTGGCCATAAGCTTCATTATTCGGCAGTGATATAATCACAGCACAGACTTTGGAGACAGAGAAATCCCTTTCAGGTGTAAACTGGGCCAGTCCTTCATCACCTGGAGCCTCAAAGTCCCCAGCTGTCATATCTACCTGGCCTGCAGGACTACTGATAGGTCTATAGGTGAGGCAGCTGAGTGCCTGCTTACGCAGTACATACTCAATGAAAATTAGCATCCCTTGTATTCCTCAAGATGATGGCCAGGTCTACTGCTCTTTGGTCTCAAACACGTGAAGAACGGTATCTTAATGGCTCGTTTTCATCAGCAGATTCTAAGCTATATTAGGAACCTTAGATTCACTCCTACATAGGTAATCTCTGCAAAATGCCTGGTATCAAGTAGGTACTTGGTTAAAAACAACCAACCAACAAACACCTATTAAATCTAAAGAGAAACTCAGGCATCAAATTTCCTCCCAGTGCCTGGAGAGATGCAATGACCCTCATGAGCCACAGTCTGCCCAGACCAGGACCAGTCTGCAGAACGGAAGGGAGCAGGTGGTACCTACTTTCACAGCGTAGGTGCTGCCGGGGTCCTCAGAGCAGGTGGCACAGTAATAAATGGCGTCCCCCGAGTCACAGCAGGGCTTGTTACATGTCAGCTTGAACAGCGACCAGTTGTTCTCATTGAAGTGCAGCTCATTTTTCTGGCCACCCATGAAGAGGTCCTCACACTTGGACACGAGGCGGGCCAGGGATTGGGTATAGAGTCCCCCGAGCTTGGCATAGGTGCCCTCCTTGCTGCTGATGCTACTCAGGAGGCTGTGTAGTTGCAGCTGGGTGCTGTTGCTGGAGGTCTGGCTGGACACACTCAGCTGGGAGGACGAAGCGCATGGGAGCCCTTTGCCTTGTGGACCAGGGCTACTGCAGCAGCTGTGGCTGCCTGCCAGGCTTGGGGCCGGCGCCCAGTGCCCGGTGCCTCTGAAGGCTTTCTCCAGAGGCTCTGAAGAGGAGAAGACATGATGGTGATGGCCTCCAGAGTTCAAGGAACTGCTCAAGTGAGGTTCATCCTGGACACAGACATTGGTCTCCGAGTGGCTGAGGTTCAGCTTGGGGCTTGCGGTCCGTGGTTTTGGCGAGCCCTGGGTCCAGAAGAAGCCATCGGGCGAAGAGGCTGCACGGCTCACAATCTTCTTCTGGGGCAGTGGGGGTGGCTGTGCAGGGCCACTGGGGGACACGTCCTCCGTGGAGCCGGAAGGGAACGGAACAGGAGCAAACAGCTTCTTCCCACTGCTGGTGGGGGAGTGCGTGGGCTCAGATGATGGACCTGCAAGACAGAAGCAGAGATGACTGGACTAGAGGGTGCTTTCCCAGGTACATGAGCCAGGGGCTGGTTTGGAAATGGAACAGTCGGTACTCTAACAGGTGCTCCCTATGGGATGTTAGTGTCACAGGCGGCAGCTTCATTGGATACGCAGTGACACTGGACCATACAGCTTTTCCAACTATGCCTTTCTCATGAGCTTTTTGAAGACACCTGGTGTTCTCCTGAAGATTAAAATCTGACAGCAGCATGTGCCTCAGATTCAAATAAATGGGCCTTAACAACCTGTTAAGGAGCCTACTATGTCATGCTGCCTGCAAGGCCGTGCACTCAGCATAGGTCTTGTGCACCTCCTCACTTCAGCGTAGTGATCATAATGACAAAAAGCACAACGAAACAGGCCAAGGCAAGGTATTGGTGCAGATGGGTGTGCGTGGAGGTCCCAGAGGAAGCATGTGGTCTGTGAGCTTTGCTCTCTCACTCAGAGGCAGTGACCAATCTGGCTGGCTCCTGGGTAGTTAATAATCTCCTAGGCTGATACTGAGCCCTCTGCTTACTCCAAGTGGGAGCAGAATTCTATCCCCACGCCCAACCACCAGCATGCCATGCACCTCAGATCTAGACTCTTGCCATGCATGCTCTGTATGGAGGGAGGGCTCCCCAGCTAGCACAGTGGAGGCACCTGTCCTTGGGGTTCCTCAGGCCCCGGCCTGGGAGGTACTGACCTCCCCACAGCAACATGAGTGTGTGATCAAGGGGACCTCCTATACAGCCCAACCGTAGATGCAAAGCTCATGGGTGGACACAGCTGTTGCATGCTGCTGCCCACTGGGCACAGGAACAGGGCGCCGAAAGCTCATGCAAAGAGAAGTCTTGTGCAACCACTAAGACTGAGTGAGGTTGTGGGGTCGGTCCCTGGCTCTCCCCACTCTTAGGTGGGCACTGACTGCTTCTCGAATTCCTCTCTCCTACCACATGCCTGCAGCAGGCAGTCACTCTTGCTTCCTGGAGGTTGATCACAGAGAGTCGCCCTTGCAGCCTTGCCCTGCTTTTGTTAACAGTAGGCTGGGCTCCGGCCAACAGGGCTCAATGAGTGATTTATATCCCTTCCAGGAGGGCTCAGGTTAATAATAAATCAGGCTGCAGTGGTGCGGTCCCTGTAATAAATCCACACCCTTGGATTTTCTCTGCAATCATCAGAGCGGAAGGTGCATGAGGCAGAGCCAGTTGGGGGAGGGGCCAGCGGGTCGCTGCTGAGCTCAGCAGGCTCTGTAGCCCTGGAGCTCACGACTCCCCCCACAAGCCCACACTACAGCTGAGCCTGGTGAGTCACTTCCTCTCATGTCTCCTTTTCAAAGAGAAGGCTGAGGGAGGAGGGGGAGGAAGAGGACTACCCACCAACTTCTCAGCTGAGAAAAGAAGGTGCAAGACCACCTGCCTCTAGGCTCTCCAAAGGCAGTAAGCCCTGAGGGGCAAGGGGGCAGATGATAAACATTCCCATCTACTGTGGGGGGCTGGCACTGTGGCTTAGCAGGTAAAATTGGCACTGTGATGCTAGTCTCCCATCTAGGCGCTTGTTTGTGTTCCAGCTGCTCCACTTTTAATCCAACTCGCTGCTAATGCACTTGGAAAGCAGTAGAGGATGGCCCAAGCCCTTGATCCTCTGCATCCACATTGGCAGGGTTGCTGGGCAGCCCTGAAAGAAACCCTGGACTTTTGACTTCAGTCTGGCCCAGCCATGATCATTGCAGCCATTTGGGGAATGAGTCAGTGGTTGGAAAACCTCTCTCTCTCCCCTCTCCCTTTCTGTGCCTCTCATATAAATAAACTAAATCATAAACCACAACAACAGAAAGTTCCCATCAGTTTCCCCAACTTTCTATCTTCTGGGCACCAGCAGCCACCACCATCCGAGTGGCAGTCTTAGGTTATCACCAAAAGGAAAGGTGCTGGGGTTGGGAAACAGGAGCAAAATATGATCAGAATGTCTGCCCAGCTGTTAGCAGTGCCCCTGGGGGACGGTGCTATGATGGCTACGACTCTGTCTGGCTCCCACTGCACCGCACAGGTCCCCGGAGCAATGCTTACATGAGGACAAAGGCACTTCTGACCATTACTTCTTGGCTTGACCCTTTTCCAAGCCTGGTGCTTGCTGCCTAGCTTCCATTGCTTTGTCTTTCCTGTCATCACCGTGAGCTCCCCTGATGTCTGAAACACAGCCAAGGCCTTTCTTTTCTGACTTGGGGCCCCACAAGGCACGAGCCCCTAACAGCCACTCAGTCAGCTGGCCCCAGCAGGTTAAGCCTCCTCACTTGATCAAGTGCAGCCCTGGACAGGCCCCGCCCAGCACCAGTGGATTTCAGTCACTTTTCTCACTTGCAACTTCTTTGACTCCTCCATCTTGTCTCATCACCATTTTGAAATAAAGTAGCTCCAGACAGAAGGCTCTTACCTCAGTGGCACACCACACCACACCACACCACACCACACCACCACCACCACCACCCCCTTCATAGGTGGATCCTAAGTCACTTGGGACAAGCCTCAGTGTCTCAGTCCCTAGGTGTGCCCAAAGGGAGAGCCTGCTGCAGGCTGCGGAGCAGGGCTTAGCACAGGAGAATGGTATGCTTTCGGCTGCAAGAGAGCACCATTCTCCTCCTGGTATCCTTCTGTTCAAGTGTTTCCTGTAGACACCGTGCGTATCACTGACTTGCATCAGATCTAAACCCATGGCTGTTCGGGTCAACCCAGCAAGTGGTCCGAGCGTTTCAGAGGGAAGCCTGGCTCAAAGGACTAGCACGTGGGCCAGCTCCTTTAAATTGTATGTTTGTACCCCAACAACCCCCGGGGCAAGGGCACACTCCTCAGAGGACAGCACTGCCAAAGAGAATACACATCCCCAGCAGAGACACAAGCCTGTAGCTGCACAAACCTTATCGGGTGGTGTGATGGACTGTAATGGACGTGTAATGAGGACTGTGCATCTTACCAATAAGTCATGCCTGCATTTCAATTTTTTTGCACCAAAACAAACTTATTTTTTTCAATTCTATGTTTGAAGGACTTTGTTTTCTTTAAAAAATTATTTCTCTTTATTTGAAAGACAAGAGTGATAGAAAAAGCAAGAAAGAGATCTTTCATTTGTTGGTTTACTCTTCAAATGGCCACAATGGGCATGGCTGGGCCAGGCCAAAGCAGTTACCAGGAACTACAGCTAGGTGTCATCCATGTAGGTGGTGGGGCCAAAGTATCCAGGCCATCCTTCCATGGTTTTCTAAAGCATCTTGGCAGAGAGCTGTACAGGAAGTAGAACATCTGGCACTTGAACATGCGTTGGCATTACAAACAGTAGCCTAACCCATAGTACCATGACACTGGCCCTCAACAAATACCCTGTCATAGCATGAGTTTTGTATGAGCATTCCTCTACCTTCCAACTTGATACACTCTCCTGAACTTTCAGCTGTTCAAAGCTCTCCAGGTGTGCGAGGAAAACTGCTGAGGAGGCGGTCATTCACTTGGAGAGCACCCAGGATCCTATCACTTCTCAGCTGTAATATTCCCGGGACCACCTTGAAGCAGCTGCTAACATGTGGCTGTTCGAGATGAAACTCGCCTCTCCCCAGGGTCCCAAGCAGCACAGTGCCCTCCAACAGCTCGTCACTTTCTTGACTCTTGGGGAACCACTTCTTTAGGATTTTGGCTCTGGCCCATACAGTTGTTCCCTTCTTACTATTTAGGGTAGTAGCCACCCCCTAAACTTAGAAAGGTCAGAAAGAAGAGAGGAGAAAAATAAAACCTGACAGCTAAAATAGCTTCAAAATTCACAGGCAAGTCACTGGTGCAGGAAGACAAAACAAAACAAATACCCTACCTAAAAATGTCCCGACTGATTTTGGCTCAGTCTTTTACTCAGGATTTAGAGTCAATGGGGCATGAAAGGAACTCCACCAGCAGCTGGTGTGTATACTGGGATTAAAGCACCATTTCCTGATTCTGGCAGCTTACAGTTAAGAGCTGTGAGAGGAGTGAGAATGGGAAACATTTTTCTGGGAACTTTGTGTATATCATAGTTACAGCATTAGAAGCTTTTTCCTTTCCTGCTTGTTTCTAAATGATTTTGCATATGAATTGGGCCAGAGAGCTTAAAGCACAGTTTCTAAATTTTCCATCACAGGTTCAATTCTGCATAGAAAGCAAACAACTGACTCCAGAGCAAAGCGGTAGAAGTGCTATGCTGGGCACTGCCTGGGAAGTGTCTGCCAGGATGGGGGTGCCTGCCAGGACAGGGCGAGGCAAGGATGAGGGGGGTCTTTGGTGCAGCAGGTGAAAGCATGGACTCCCACCTGCATCTCGCTTCAGAGTGCCTAAATTCAAGCCTCGGCTCAGCTCTGAATCCAGCTTCCTGCTAATGCACATATGCGCAAGCAGCAGGTAACAGCTTAGGGCCTGGGGTTGGGGAAGCTTTTTTCTACTGAGATCTGCCATGGGAATAATCATGGGCAGTGCATATTTATCAACTGAAAAATAAACTTGCTACGGATTTATTGAATTTCAAGCCCTGACTGCAGCTTCCTTGGTAGGGCCAGGCAAAATGACAGTGCAGGCCTTCTACAGCCTGCCGATTGGTTGCACGTTTCCCTGGCGTGAGTGGTTAGGTCCCTGCTGGGCATGTGGGAGGAGATGTGGATTGAGTTCCTGGACCACCTCAGGCATCCAAGGGATAAATCAGCAAGTGGGAGACCTCTCTCTGCCCATCTCTCTTATTCTTCCTCTCTCTCTTTCTGTCTCCGCCTTTCAAAGAGAACAAATAATTCATTAGTAAATGAACATAAGATTGAGGGGTGGGTGTGTTAGTTTGGTGTCATTTTATGTGGAAGGCAGAGATGAGAGAGGACTCAATAGTTGGAAAAGCAGCCCAGAAGTTCATCCAGGCCTGTCTTCTCACTGGGTCTGAATGGGTGCTTTCATTGTTCTCTGCAGACGAAATGAGTGCTGGGCTA